CTTTCAGATACATCTTTGAAGTCTACAGTAGAGTAACATACGTCATATGTTCTTTAATTAAAACTTACTAGGCCGGAAAATGTTACCAATGATTCATTCTGAAGAGTTAAAAACCCATCTGGAACTATACCTATAATTCCATCAATGACTTTTGACATGATTTCATCTGTACAGGAAACATTGTTTGAAAATGAAGTGCTGTTGGTCCTCCACCAACCAGTATTATACCACATTGGAATAATCCACAAATACATGGGACCAATCATATCTCTATAATATGCCTATTTAATATGCTCAGCATGTAAGAGGTACATTAGAATAATACATCACATACCTCACACAGTATCTTATAAGCAAAATTAGGATATGCATTAATGTGAATGATTCTAAAGTTCTTAACATTGCTCTATGAGATCATAATATACATTTTGTTATTTAAAATGAATAGCTTACTAACTTTTTCAAAGTAAGATAAAGGGTTACCACCTGATAAGACAACAAAATCGTTCAATTTCCATCCTTGGTCCTCAAAGATATTAGTAGCACTTTCAGTGACCTGTTATTAAATGCCACATTACTGTCATTATCCAAACACTTCTCTCGAGGTAACTCTATGTTGCGTGTAGATGTGTATTAAACTATTATTACATTCTAAAACAAAATTTTGATACCATAGGGAAATAACTGAGATATATAATCACCGTCATTGTTTTGGAAGCTTAGTTTATAATGAAAGTGTTTAGAAAATAAACTTGTTTGGCAATGCATGCATGGATGACAATGGCATTACTTTTATTGTCATGAATTAATTATCCTTTCACTTTATTTAATGGGTTATACACCATATACCCTAAGACACATTCCAATCTTGAACCAATGCAGGGTTTTTTCCTCTTCCTTTGGTGTTCTAACTAGTGTTTCTTGTAATATTAATCATAATTATGTTTCTGTCAACAGATGAGGTTACTCTGCTACAAAATCATAGAGTGGCCTTATGATGTGAAATTTTGGATAATATATTTTGGACATCACTACAGTGTACTTTGTTTTGGATAATAGTGCAGATAATGACAAAGCTGTTTACATCTTCTACATGTGGCTAGCACCAGCAAATGTCTTTTAGACATAAGGAAAAACGTACGGGCATAAAATTCCACGAGGTACTTAATTTTGAAGATTTCTTGGATAATTTCTTAACCACGAAATTAATACAAAAGGAAATATTTACTGTGCATGTGCAGCTTTTGTACTTAATGCATGTGCACATGCAAAAGCACAAAATTTAATCCCCTTAAAATTAAAAAATTGAGAACTTTTCACAAAAACTTGAAATTTACTACCTGTATGACATATTACTCTGGAGCACTGAAATTCTCACAACAAAGCAGCTAAACAGAATGCTGCATGACCTCACAAGCATTATAATAGTACATGGCTTTTGGAACAATTTTTAAAAATTTATAAAAATATAATTTTAATTAGAATCAGCTACACAGCATAATTAAGAACAATGTGTATGCATCAGGAAACTATTATAAAGGGAAAAATACTTGACAAAATACCCAGTACAGGGTGTTTTGTCAATTTTTGAAGTAATTTCAGAAATTCATAAAACAATCCACTAAAAAGCTGACCAGTGAGACTATCCTGAGAGAAAGCCTTATCTAAAGCTCTTTAATTCATACTAAGCTCAATTTCTGACAATGTGAAAATGCTAACACTGGTAGCATTATAAGCATTATCTTTATTATGAATATTAATAGGATAAACAAATGCTCCACTAGGCTTTTAAACATAAATGGTTTATATATGCTTGGTAGTTGGTGGATAAAATATGTTAAGTTCTTACTTGTCTGAACAAAATCTCATCCTGTGTTATTACCGCCATCTGTCTCCATCCAAATTCTCTCATTAACTGACCCAGGGATGCCCCAGAATATCGAAAAGATAAAATCGTTCTGAAAAAGTTTTTGAATCGACTTCGATCATTCAGGATATCAGCACCAGCTGCATAAGCCAACTGTATGCAAATATGCAAATAATAAATACCGTATAGTGGGTTTATTTCGAGGATAATAAATTTCGCAAATGACCCGTATCCGTAAGTTTGCAGAATTAATTTTTGCAAATTTCCACTATTCTGCCATCTTGTACCATATTAAATTGATTTTCAAAGAATCAAATCTTGAAGAATCCACAAAATTTGTTATCCTCAAAAATAACTCACTATACAGTAATAGACATTAATTTAAATTGAAAAATTGCATTATTGATGACCAGGCTGTAATTTTTAAAGCACCTCAACAGAACACAAGTGTGATATGAAATATGCCCACTTACATGTGGTATATTCCAATAGTGACTAATTTCTGCTACTGGTATAGTAGCAGGAGAACATCCACATCCAATCAATGACACATAAGTAGTGTCATTGTTTATCAATTGAAAAAAATTATCAAGTGATGTAGTACGATCGCACTGGATAAATTTAAGAAAATATCAATCATTATAAAAGCTTCAGTATACCTTTGAATCCAATATATCTGTGTAGTTCAGAGTATAGTTCTGTAGAACATCATCCCTTTCATTAATAAGCTCCAGTGCAAGATCAACTACTGGTATTGCACCACTTAGGACTAAAGGGCCAGACAGTGTAGTTATGTATCCAAAATAGAGACTTTTAGTTTTTTCAGCTGTCAATAAAGAAGAGTAAAGTAATATACACCAAAATAAAAGAAAACATTGCTTTGACATATTTTGCTCCACTTCTCTAGTCTATAGTAGTCAATGCTCTAGGATTGGAGGGTGTGGTTATTTATCAACATGTTAATGTTTAGTAAACTATCTATGATCTTTATCCAAAAACATTCAACTGCATAGTACTCATATCTGACCAGTCATAAAAATGATCAAATTAAACAATATTCAGACAGTGTCTAAATATTAATTGTTTAATGCTCTATATACTTAGACATAGCACCTAGATTCAAGATTCTCCATTTGATTATGATGATAATTCCGCTTGCTTGAACATTCAATGTTATTTTAGATGTAATAGGCTGTTTGTGATTATAGGCTGTTTGTGTTAATGCCATAATACGAGACACCAAAGGTGTGTGGCCTCGCCCCAAAAGCTGTTTGGGAGGTGCTAGGCTTAGCTAACCTAAGCCAATATATTTCAATGATATAGATCAGAAGTGACAGACTGGGTCAGTGTGAAAGTATGATGGAACTCTGGAGTCTGTGCTAAAATTGGTTCATCAATTCCTACTAGTATTTCAAAATTTATCACTTATTTATTCACTATTTATACTTATTGCACTCTCACTTCTAAAAACAGCATCATGGATTTGAAAACCACAGCTTTTGTTGTGGCCACTATCTATCAAAAACATACTGTACAAAAAATTAGAAACTGAGGCCAATGGATTGTGCTCATGAGGCCAAGGAATTATCATGACAGCTAGCTTCCTAGCTGCAGCTTGCATGGTTGCAGAAGTATTTTGTTGATGTATTATATAAGTGTGTGCTCTTTTTTTAAAAGGTTTATCTTAATTTTAAAATTCAGTTGTAGTAGACAAGTCAAACTGACTTATTATACTTGACAAAATTATACTGTTAATCATGATTAAGGTTTTAGATAAATTAGTGATAATTCTATAACATTAATTTCCTTTTAGTTAAAAGCAGTGATGCATAGATAGTTCCTAGTGTTATTTATCTTTCTTCTCTACTGATCTCTTTATTTCTAAACCAATGGCTTCAGCCAATGGAGGTGGGACAGCATTACCAACCTAGAGATGAATAATACCCAATAATGACAATATAATGCATTCTCTGTGAATGCTACATGTAGCATCGTATAGAAGGAAAAATTGCGGAATTTTATTTTGACACTTGGCAAATTAATGATAAAATCGACCACTTTATTCTGAGCATGCTCAATGTGTGACAAATGGCTGCAAATTCCTCAATATAAATACCACCAATACATTACAATCATGGAATCACCAATATTAAGTGCCACCAAATATTCTTCCCCACTATAATCATGGTATAATACTGACCTGTCTGTGTTTATCAAGTATTGTTCCAAAGAAATGGAAAGTATCAGGGAATCCCTGTGACCTGGCACACTCCTTCACACTCACCACTCGATGCTGCTCTGGGTGAAGGACACGACCCTTACAATAAAATAAATAATAGTGTAAATTATATTTATATTCGTTTTCTCCTTCTCACTTGCTTCCCCATTGGTTCTGGATTCGTAACTGTCGTACTAAAAAACCCATCCCATTCTAACCTTCCATAAAGCCCCGCCCAATGATTGTGTCTGTTACCTAACAGAAGATACAATAATAATGTAACGGATGTGGCCAAAAATGACTAGGAGAGGATTCTCAATTTTTCCTGATACATATACATGGTTTTATGTTGTGTAGCAAGTTTGAACTGATTCTGATCACAATTGGATTTTTTATGAATTTTTAAAGTTGCTCCAAATGCTAGGTACTGTATGTAGTGCTTGTAGCATGTTTTTTTAGCTCATTTAGCATGCTTTGTCAGAAACATTGCCTAGTAGTCAATAATTATACTATCTGATTAACCAGGATATTTGTTACAGCTCTAGTAACAATTCAGTTTATTCTCTACCTGTATGTGGTAAGCACCATGGTTACATGGTATAAGGGTCCCATACTGCCTGTAAAAAGAGTCACAAGGTTGACCAGTGGCACAGGAACAGACACCTCTTAATGACTTATTCTTATGTCTCCCATTCTTTTTATCATGATGAGTATATTGACTGGGAAGAGAGTGAGTGAGAGATAAGAAAGTATAATTAGTGGATCATTAGATTGCACAAGTTGCTTACAGTTTGGGTGCAGTAGTTCCATCAGAGAGTCTAATACATTTATTAGGGAGGTCCCTCCAGTCTGATCCAGGCCCAATTGGTAAGTACCTCATACGGGCAGCAACCAATGGACTCATCTCCTTGCATATATGACCATACAACACTGGCTGGTGCTGATTACCACTGGTGCCTCTAAAAAACATTAAAGACATAAAGACTCCAAATACAAAGTTAACATGGACCTATGTGATTTTCCCCTCACCAGTCTCTGATAGTGACAGTGTGGCTCCCCATTATAATTCATGGAGCGTACAGCTGATCCATTCTTAATGTGAGGCAGGTCTGACATAGAGTCTCTGACAGTAATTGTCCTGTAGGGAGCTGAGTCCATTCTTATACTCCCCTCATACTGCAAGACTAAAGTTCATGTCATTCACTCCAAAGAGTGGCCCTACCTTAATGTCATTGGCCACTACAGTTAATTGACAGGCCCTTGGACTGAACACATGAGTTGGGTTAGGAAAGTGAGGGAGCTTCTCTCCTGGGGCAGCTGCAAGTATAATAGCTCTAAAAAATAAATATAATAAATAAATATGCACACCCACACATGTATTGCATGTATTGCTTATGTATGTATTGTATTGCATGTACATGTATTGCATGTACATGTATTGCTTGTAGATAAAGCAAAATAACTTACCTTCTTCTTGTCTGAGGTACTCCATATTGACCTGCTTGCAAGACACCAAACGTACACTAAAATAAAACAGTATAAGAATTATTGCTATTTTTAGTAACAGTTATATTAATAGCAACAAACCTGATAGCCCATCTTTACTAGACAGCGCAGTGTTAGTTTAAGAACCATGCTCTTTTTGAAGGACACAAAATTACGGACACTTTCAAGTAGAAAGAATTGAGGACGATAATACTCACAAAAACTTAAATAAGAGATGACAAGTGAATTCTACAAAAGGTTAAGGTAGCATCAAAAACGTGTTAATACGTGCATTGAATGAATTGAGAATGAAATCAAACATGTCTCAAGCACTAGTGGGAATAGTGTTAACCTTAAATTGAGAATATTCTCTTGAATTAAATATGTTCATTCCACTGAATCCTTGACAAGGAGGTCCACCACACAACAACTCAACATCACCTTTCTGAGGCAAGGACTGACCTCTGGAGTTAGTTTTAGCACCCTAACAACAAATAAGAAAAAAAGAAAAGTACTGTACATCACGTATACTTCATTATAAACACTGTTTATTTATTATTCTTTCCTTATAAACATTGTTTGATTTATCCATTCATCTTCCCTTCTCTCTATCCCTCTTTATATTACCTCCATTACTAAACTAAGCAGTATATTACAGTCGTCAGTGAATACTGTTGTTTGGCTGTAGTTAAGTCTGAAAGCTTGAGCAGCTGGTTCATCAATCTCAACTGCCCAACATGAATCAGCTACTCCAGCTTGATGGAAACCTTCAGATAATCCTACAATGATACACATGTAAGTATATGATCAAGTTTGGTCAAAATTAGAAAAGCACGTATCTCTTATACAATATTATACTCTAACCTCCACAGCCAGCAAACACATCAAGCATTCTCAGTTTCTTGAAACTACTATCAGGAGTGATATCATCTTTCTTATCATCATCAGTGCTGGTGGTGGTGATGCTTTCCTTTGATCCTTTAGCAGGTCCTTTACCCTTACCTTTACCCTTTGATATACCCTACAGTATAATAAATATTTATAAAATACAGCACGTACAAAAACATTAACTTTCATAAACTAAAAATTTAATACCAATATAAATTACTTATCAATAAAGTTACTACCTTTCCTTTCCCCTTGTTCCTTGCGTGTATTGGAGGGTCTTCAAACTCTTTAGTATCAGCACAATAAGTCTAAATATATTTAATTATAGTCTATATTTTTATCAATAAAATGGCTGACCTCTACAAAGTAAAAGTGGTTTGGCTTGTTGGAGAAGTATGAGTCAATGTCTTCGGTAATGTCTTCCTTGAATTTCACAAAACACTTTCCACAAACAACATCACCAGCAACCACTGTAGTCACTACAATAAATAAAAATATAATTATGACTAAAATTGAATCAGATCACCCACAAAATTTGAAAAAGAGTCCCCCCATCAACTACGCTGTATATGCATGTACATAAAATTACATGTACAGTACATGTACAATCATGTACAGTATAAATGAATAAAAATAAGTACCTAAATCACTCCAATAGAGTAAATTGAGGTCATATTGTGCAGTAGCTTCATCTTCTTTGTGTGTATCCTGTGGCCTGAGAAAGTAGCAAAGTTAATACATTGTACAGGGTAATTCTCAGATTTTGGCATAATTATAGTTTTAAATGGCCATAACTCAAAAAATTTGAGTTGGAATTGACTCAAACTTTCTACATAGCACAAGGACATCAATATGTATCAGGAAATGTAATAAAAATTGGGGGTGATTTCGGAGCCAATTTTTGAAAAAACCACGGGCTATATATAGTACAGGGTAATTTTCAGATTTTGGCATATTTTTTAAATGGCCATAACTCAAAAAATTTGAGTTGGAATCGGTTCAAACTTTCTACATAGCATAAGCGCATCAATATATATCAGGAAATGTAATAAAAATTTGGGGTGATTTCGGAGCCATTTTTGGAAAAAACTATGCACTATAGTACAGGGTAATTTTCAGATTTTGGCATATATAGTGTACATGTATTTTTAAATGGCCATAACTCGAAACATTTAAGTTGGAATCGACTCAAACTTTCTACATAGCACAAGGACATCAATATGTATCAGGAAATGTTATAAAAATTGGGGGTGATTTCGGAGCCATTTTTTGAAAAAAAACCATGGGCTATAGTACAGGATAATTTCCAGATTTTGGCATATTTTTTAAATGGCCATAACTAAAAAAATTTAAGTCGGAATCGGTTTAAACTTTCTACATAGCATAAGTACATCAATATGTATAAGAAAATGTAATAAAAATTAGGGGTCATTTCGGAGCTGATTTTTGGAAAAAAGCACGGGCTATAGTATAGAGTATTTTTCAGAAATTATCAAATTTTAAATAGCCATAACTCAATTATTTTTACTGAAAATCAACTCAAACTTTCTACCTACATATGTAGCATAAGGACATCAATAGAATATAATAAAAATTTCTAATTATTATTATTATTATTATTATTATTATGATTATTATTCTTACCTGTAGTACATTCTCAGTTTAATGTGAACAATCTCATTATTATCAATTAGTAAACCTCCCGATGATTTAGAAAATATGTCTAATACTTGACCTATGGAGAAAAAAAGTAGTCTAAATATTAAAATAAAAATTGACAAGCGGCCTTACCGATTTGAAACGGACTAGGAGAGTCAATGTTACTACCTTTGACGTAATCAGAAACCTTTCGATACTTCTCAGGGTATTCAGACTCATCAAACTAAAGAGAGAGAGAGAGAGAGAGAAATTGAAAGTCAAATAATGCAAACATTAACTAACTGAATAACAAGTTATTGATAACAATCAATGTATATAATCATTGCATAACACATCATACACTTATATATGTACACATGTACATGTGTACATGATGTACATGTACACACATGAAAATTTGCAATGCTGTGCAATATAATACATACATGAAAGACCATACTATACTATCCAGAATTTTTACTACCCATTTACATGGATTGTACTTGCATAGAAGATGCCTTTTGGCCAACAATATCAGCACATGTTATGGTTAATGTAGTACACACATGTACCTCTTCCTCTTAATTCCTTCTTCTGTTTCTTATTGGCAGCAGTTCCACTGGTTTTCTTAACATTAGGAAATGAATACAATCACCAATGGAATAAGACTCCTCAATTAACTGGAATGACCTGAGAGGAAGAGAGAGAGAGAGAGAGAGAGAGAGAGAGAGTGGTGTGCAATGAGAGTGAGTCATTGGAACAGAATGAGTGGAAATCATGCAGGAAAGGAATGACAACAGAAACTTGAAGAATAATATCACTCGTGTGTGCATTTAGCAACATTTACCTAATAGCACAAATATCACACAATTTAAAACCAATCACATGAAAATCACATGATATGCATGCACATGTTCATGAGTACATTACACAAATAATTACACACGAAATTATGAGGTACTATTGATCCCCATACTCAATCCCTAGACGATAAGGTAAGCTGTTTACCATTAGAGACGATCCATTACAAATTACTAATGATAAGCTGTGAAAAGTTATGGTCAGACAAAAAAAACCAAACAGTGTTTACAGTTAGCATACAGATCATTTATAATAACATTGAAGCAACATATTTTATAAAAACTAGCAGCTAGCAACTCTGAACTCTCAGTATAGCAAGTGAAAGAGAGAGAGCAATGGCCAGTTCCAGTAATCAAGCATATCTCTATGAAAGGCCCCAGCTGAGCAGACTCTGTTCTCAAATAAGAACTTCAAGATGGCATCAACTAGGAATACAGCTAGAAGTGGATCAGGCAACACTCAGTAACATCAGAGATGATGGCTCTATCCCGTATGAGGAGAAAAGATGCCGCATGTTTGAGAAATGGCTGGACGGTAACTCTAGAGCAACTAATAAGCAGCTGCTGGAAGCACTAAGGCTAAAAGTGATAGGAGAAGATGCAATGGCAGAGGAATATGAGCAGACACTTGTATCAAGCCAACAAGGTATATAATATAGTAGGCATGAGATTGATCTGATTTATACTGAAAACTATGTTTCTTATAGAGAGCAATGGGAGGATTGAGGGTACAGCAGATTCAACACAGAATGAAGACAATCCAACAAAAGAAGGTAAGAGCTAGAGTGAGAGCTAGAGTGAGAAAAGAGAAGGAAAGGCTAGAATTACCCTTTCTCATCTAATCTTTCTTTTCCTCTATCTCCCTTCAGTGATGGAAGAAATGTCAAAGAAAGCAATAAGTACAACAGTTAAGCTAACCAGTGAGGCACTGGAGTTACAAGCCAAGTATCACAAGCTCTTGCATCTAGTCCAGACCTCGTGCAGAGAAGCTGAACTCGAGCCGATAAAAAACATCGTTAGGACAATACTCCAAGAGAAATCCCTCTACCAACTGGCAGCCATTGCTAGATACAGGAGAGAAATAAACAGCCTCAGCTCTGTAGATCAAGTTTTCCAATTCCTCGTTGAGAAACACTTCATAAGTTATCTTAACTTTCAACTCCTCAAAGAATTCTCCACTAAAACAATATGCGGCCTTGAAGCTAGCAAGAAGATAGAGAGGGAGATCTCAAAGTACCAGAAACACTTCAAAAGCTTCATGGACATACCAGAGTTCTCAACTCTGATACAAGTCTTTGACGAGAACCCTCACCTAAACCCAAGCACCATAGTGGGACTGCCTATCATAATAATATCACTCTTTGGATCATGGAAGCATCGGAACAGAAAGGAGCTGAGTGATTGGATACCTTTTCTAAAGGAAAACAAAGAGCTACTGCAGTCTATGGGATATAAGTGTATACTCATCACTTATGCACTCTTCCCTATCGATATTCCCCAGGTAATGACTTTCCTAAATGATTGTACTAAAATGGAGGAGCTGAAAAAGAATGGGATAACTATAGAAATATCAGAAGAGGCTACAACAATGTTTAAGTTGCTCTCATCTCCAGATGTAAGCACCTTGATATCAAAGTTGGAGGCAGAAATGAAAGTTCTGCAAGAAGAGAACACAAAGCTCAAAGAAATGATTGATTCCTTGAAACAGACTCAAGAAAAGATAATGGACATGCTGACACAGACTCAGGATAAGATAACACAAAATAAAGAGGCTATCCATCAAATGGCAGCGACCCAGAATCAAGACAAGAAATCAAACGATTACAATTTCACAGAAATACAAAACGGAGAGCATCAAGTACCAGTGCCAAAAAGAGGAAGATCAAAATCAGAGATCGTTAGTGCAAAATCAGAACAAAAGCGTCCTCAATACCTCCCAGTATATGTACATAGAACCAGCTATCCAGGACCAGGTACAGAAGAAAGAATGATTAAGAGACCATTATCCCTTGGAGAATACACCATAGTTGCAATACACTCTCATTTACAATAACACACACACACACATTATACTGTTTGGTTGCATTTGTTTTTAAAGTTTTCACTGGTAGCATTTCATGACAACACTGAATTAACACGTTAAAATTTTGCTATAATTTACAATATTTTGAGCAAATATGGGCCAAATACATATGTCATATATGAAACCTTGCCATAATGTGGAATTACACCATACATGTCAATCATAAATACACACTTTAAGAGTGATACAAGTACCAACATGTATAGATTGACATACATAATATAGCAAGGCTGCATAAGTCATGGCAGCGATTTTGTACTGCGGTGAATCCTACTTAGTAACGCCTCTGTTTTACTAAAATACAATACACATGTACACTAGTCACTAGGACTACATTTTATTAACATACAAAGCACACAGTGATTGGAGTATTGAATACTGATAGTAAATACTACCTACCTGTAGTTTGTAATCTTTGATTTCTCTGACTCTCTTATTTCTCTTATTGATAGGAACTGCAGAATGTACCTTAAAAGAGAGAGACAGAGTTTAAAACATTATTACATGCACCAATATACACATGTACATGACATGTTATTAAGTGTCATTTACAGTTTTCATGTGATTTCTTCTCTCACAAGAAGCACACCGAGGTATGAAACCATCAGTGGGTGGGTCGGCATCATCTGGTATCAAGTATCTTATGTATTCGCTCAGAATGTCTTCAAAACGTGCCAAAGACTGGTCATAGTATTTCTGAACAAAAAATGTCTTCCCATCTTCCTCAATCTCTTTTTCACCATCAGGCACTTCCTCCCCACCACACATGAACCAGTTACTGACAGGAGGCTTCTCCTCAACCTAATTAGTAATACATAAATTACATTATCATGTCACTCCTTCTCTTCCCCCTCTCTCTCTCACCTCCACTTTGTTCATGATAGCCCCAAGAGGATTATCCTCACAATCGTCGATAAGGAACAACTCCAGTGGATCTCCAGTCTCGCCTAATATGGTACCGGTAGATCAACTTTAAAAATATAATAATAAAACTACAAAAACAATAATTGCTGGATGCTTACTGAAACCACCATCCGTGAAACATTTTCTTTCCGTTTGAGTCCTCATACATTGACATGATGCGTGTGAGGTAGAGTGGGTCATCGAGCACTTCTGGACAGACTGACACCACATCATATAAGCAGACCTAAAAGAGATGAGTGTATATATAAACAAGCTCCTCAATATCTCCCTTTCTCTACTCTCTGTGCAGGTACATGCATATTAACCTTCTACTTTGTAAGCTCTTGTCATACCAATAATTTATAATATTTCCCTTTCTCCCTTACTAACCTTCTCTTTGTTGTTAATGAGGACTTCAGTGTAGTAGCTTTTGTCTCCTTTAACAAAAATTGGTTTGCCAATCCACTCCACTTTTGTCTACAAGTAACAAATAATAATATAAATTCATACAATAAAGTTATATTTTACTTGTACCTTTATTTTCTTGATCTTCTTTGATGGAGACTTCAAGTCTTTCTAAACATTAAGAGAGTTTATTTTCAGACCACACCCCCTAACATACCACATTCTTCAAGTCAGGATCAGCTGAATCATTATCTTCCTCTTCTTCGGCCATCTGTACGGCCATATAAGGGCATCTGAGAGGTGAGAGATAAAGAATAGAAAAAAATAAAAGTTATCACATGCATAGAGACACACAAATACATGTATATGGACAAGTATATTCAGGGGTAGATATGCAGTGCATTTTCAATGCATTTCAATGACTGACCTTCTGTTAACACAAGCTTGCTTTGATCTTCCAGTTCCACCAAACTTGACCATATCAGCACAAGAATTGCACTTGCCACAGTCGGGCTGCTGGCACGTCTCACAGACACCACACCTCCTCCTATGAGGGGCGGAGCTGGATTTGTTATCAATCTGATTCTTGAAGAACGTCTCAAAGATCGCCTGTACGAAATTGCAATGGAAACCACAAATTACATAATGATTTAATAATTTATATGTATGAATTATTATTTCATAATTATTATCATACTTTCGTTTGCTTGGTCTTTTTGACTTTGGGTTGGTGTGGGCATCGGCTTGAAAGTCTAAAAACACCAGGTCATGGTGGGTAATGTACATAATAAATATGGAACCTTTTTCCCAGTGTGACCCCGGCTAGTTTTATTAATGCTCTCATGCATGGAGACACTAGCAAGAAATCCTCATCCTCATCACAGTACTGATCATAACTCTCAACCTATCAAGATATGTAAATATTACCATATAGCTAGGATCTTTGTGGCCCAAAATTTTCATAAATTTTGCAATTTATTCAAAATTTACAAAAATAATATCCATAAAAATTGATTTAATACGGTTTAACATGGCCGAAAGGCAGAAAATCGTGAAAATTAAAACCACAAAATTAAGATTTTTGGATGAATTTGTAAAATTTTTGGGCCATAAAAATTTCTTGCTAAACAGTATGTGAGTATATGTGTACATATATAATATACATGAATTTGAACCTATTACTGTTACAGTATGTGCTTATTGCAGTGCATTGTACATGTAAGTGTAGTACATGTACATGAAGGTACCTGTTCCACAATGAACTGTGCATGTCTCAGTAAAGAGTCTTCAGTGAATGAAGTGCATCCGATGGATTGAGGTGGAACTGATGTTTGAATCTTATTCAATAAGTCCTCATACGTAACAGCTGGGAATTCCTCCAAGTACTCAATAAGAATCTAATTACAAACAAAATAATATTAAATTACTGTAATAATAATAATTATTATTATTATTATTATTAAGATAAGTACAATAATTAGAAACAAAAACGGGTTAAAAATGCATACACCTACATGTACATTGTAGATGTAGAAAAATATATAATTTGAGATTATTATTTTTTATTATTATGAAAACAACACAACAACAAAACATTATTATTATTATTATTATTATTATTATACCTTGCTTAGATATATCTTTTCCTGTACTGATGCCATGATGTCAGCATAATCATCTGAAGCATCCATCAGTATGTATTCAGCATACGCTGTAGAGAAGAAGAGGTCAAATAGAGAAGAGACAGAGATAGAAGGTGTAATGTCATAATTCACTGTGTGCATATGTGTACCTGTAGAAAAACCCACAAGTGCTTTCTCTCCTCCATCAAATCCAGCAATCCACCATGAGTTAATAGGACCAAGCTGTCTCATAGGTATACCATCTACACAATCATACAGAAAACAAGTAACAGATTTCATTTCATTAAAAACATATTTTGATAGAAACTTTCTGTAGGCATAAATGTACATTGCATATATAATCTTTAATATTTTGGTACCATAATGCAATGAATGTGTGTTTATATCAAATACCGGAGGGATCAGGGTTCTCATCATATATGGGTTCGACCCAACCACTAAAGAACAGTTCCACATTCTTCTCTACCAACCCGGTATCAAAATGATAGAGGTGATGGTTCTTATCATAAACACTATATCAATAACAAAATCATAATTATAATAAATATAATTCATGTACTGTATACCTGAATCCTGTGATCCTGTGTTGTGGTACATCATCCAGTGCACTCTCGGCACTAAAAACTGATAAACTCGGATCAGCAAACATAATAAACTCATCATTCTACCAATGGGTACATATACAATGGATATGGTATATAAATATAAGTCACATACAGCATTGGGTGCATCACCAATGAATGTCTTTAGTGTCAGATCATTGCTGCTCCTGTTACAATATGGACCTGTGCACTGTGGCTGTGATGACTGAGGGGCCTAACAAAATAATCCATAAACCAGGTACTAATTAGTAATAACTAATTAACACGGTTAATTAATACGGACATACAAATCAGACGTATATTACTAATTAAACTCACAGCTGGTGGCGAGTACAGCTGTATCACTGGTTGATTGTCTTTGGTTTTGCTTTGAGACGAGGGGAGGATATGACAAGGCCTCGGGGAACTAAGCATGGGACCACTTCCTCCGTCCTCTCTCAGGGGACGCTTTGAGGGAGGAGCATGAGAATCTAAAAAAGTATTTAAAAGTAGTTTTACCGCACTCTTTCTCTCTCTTTACCTGAAGATTGAACTCTTTTGTTTGGTTGAGAAGATTTGACTGCTGCTTCACGAATTAGATTCAAACACTTTCTGTGACTATTAGCAATAATACAAGTAAATAAATAAATAAATAAATAGACTCACATGCAAGCTTGCTTTTTGCTCCTTGGGCCTCCAAACTTTAGCTTGTCACTAAAAAAAGAGAATCAGAGAAGTTACTGTGTTTTGGCAGTTGACTCAAATCCACTAATTATTATTATTAAACCTACCAATCAGTACATGTACATGTACATGTACATAATAATAATGTACAAAATCAACAAAATTAATTAAAAACTGCCAAATGTATTTCATATTTAAGAAATTATAAAATAAAGTGCTCTCTATAATACAGTAACATTGTACATAACATTGTATAAGTACATGGAATTATTTCATCATTTCAACTTACAGGCAATTGGTACACTTTCCACAATCATTCTCTCTCAGGCAGGCCTTATACTCGAGGCACCTCCTCTGTCTCTTAAGTAACCTGACGGGAGAGTGGTCGTCACTGAGGGGAGGGTCATCGTTAGGGGTATGGCTGGGGAGAGTTCATCTCTCCCTCTTTGATGAAGAGGGAGAGATGAACGGAAGAGAATCAAGAGAGTCTATCTCCATCGGTAGACCATTTTCCAAAGGAGCACCTTCTTCTCTATTTTGTCCAGCGTTTTCAATATCTTCAATTGTAGAACCTTCCCAATCACAATCCTTTAAAAAGTAATAAATAATAATAATAATAATAATAATAATAATAATAATAATAATAAAATTACTAAAAATAATAACATGCATGTACATGTTCACGCACATGTAATTAATATCAATTAATAATACAATAAATACATTAATAATAAATTACGATATTGCCGGTTTTCCAATTTCAATATAACGTAAAGGTAGGCAATCATAATAAAAATTAATCAATGAATATTTAATTAGATGGTGTGTACATGTACATGTGTACCACGTGGTCTGAAGCTCCAAAAGTTTCTCTCCTATGTCCTGTTGTTAGGGTCCGCAACTCCAAAAATGGAAGTCCTCTAAAAAAATCCATTGGTAGTGATATGAAGAGTACTAAGGAGTATTAACTAAGCTGTATTCTTTATTCTTTCAAGTACCTTCTCTTTCTCTTATAATTATAATTTTTAATGGGCGTGGCGTAATATTTTAATTGACGCTGCATGTGTGCTAAAGAGTAATTACAGCGTCTTTACTGTTCTGAAGCAAGAATCAAGAATTTTTCTACAAAAGTTTTATTAAGGTACTATATTTATATTGCCTACTCAGAGTAGCTGAGCAAGTAGCTATGATTTATGTAGAAATTTAGTCAAAAATATTGTATAAGAGAAAGAGACAAGTGATAAATTTTGCTTAAGTATCATCATGAGTATATTTGTAACTCCTAAGTAGATGCAAAATAACTACTAGGCCTGCCCAATATCTGTATTAACTTTGAATGAAATCTGTTTTTGTTAACCATCTGGCTGGTGAGCAGTTATAATACCTGCTTGTTAGCCTTGTCACAAGGGTGGGGCTGCTCTTTATGCTATTTAATATGAATGTAAATATCACAGTATATATAACTATTTTTTCAGGGTGACAAATGGAAGATCACACTGATCCTACTTATGGGGAGTTAATTGACTTACTGTGTGATGCTGAGGTTGCAAGTAATTATGAAGAGCAATCAGTTGCTGATATCCTCATTCAAAAGTTCATTTCTATAAGTATCCTCATATACCAGTTAATTGTCCAGGCCGTTTCTTAGACACTGTTAGAAGACTTGCTGCTCCAACAAAGCCATCTGCAATTGGAGAACCAAAATTGATTGGTTCACCACTTTGATCTTACCGTCATAGTCTCTATTGCAAATTATTAGGTATAGTTACCTTTAGCAACTATTTTTAGAAACTTCAAGTAGTAACTAAAATTGCACTAGAAATTAGAATGCTGTGTGAAATATTTGTGCAGCTATTTTTGTTCATGATAATGTTTCTGTTTATTTCAATTATTCATTGTTTTTATAGATGCAGTTGGAAGTATAGTTGAGACTTACCCACCAGTACCTCTCCTTCCTTTTGAGTTTAATTGTTATGGTAACAGGGACACACTATGGAATTGCTATAAATCTACCATTCAGTGTTCTAATGGACCTTATAGATATGCTACTGTTACTTGTCAAGGTAAACTTTTCAGAAAAAGTGAAAATACTAACATTCACTTTACACTAGCTAAATTTGATGACTGGGAGGTACGTTTATATGGTTCATCTTATGAAAATATTGGAGCTGTTGAAGTTTGTATTGATGGAGAATGGAGCTCAGTCTGTTATGATGACTTTGATTTCTCTGATGCTGCTACAGTGTGTACTCAATTAGGATACATACCTTATGGTTAGAGATACATGTATAGTATATAATAATGTTAAAGGTTATATTATGTAGGAGCTATCATTCCACCAAGAAATTCTTATAATAGATACACTCGCACTTATTATATTAGTGACTTGAATTGTACTGGTTATGAAAGGATTGTACAAAACTGTTCCTATACTGCACCTAAAAAGGGAAATTGTGTAAAAGCTCCTCTCATATGTCAAACTTAGTCTGCAGTCCATTTGCTTATACTTTTCAGGGCTTAGATCTAGTTATAATTGATTATTCTTATAGGAAATAATGAGAGTGTTGATGCTACATGCACTGATGGAAGTGTTCGCTTGGTTGGTGGAATCAATGAACTTGAAGGAAATGTTGAAATATGTCTTAATAAATTTTGGGGATCAGTGTGTCATAGTGGTTGGAATACTATTGATGCTAATATTGCTTGTAAGCAGCTAGGATATCAATCATCAGGTAAGAAAATAAGTACTAGCATCACAACTCATTATCTTACTTTTTATTTGTACATTTACTCTGAGTGTGGTTGATGTACATGTATATCAAAATAGTATCTTGTGCAATGATTAAAATAACAATTACCATATAGCTTAAAATTTTTGAGGGCTGTAAATTTCTCGAATTTGCTTAAAAGTCTATTTTGCAGATTTAATTATTGTGAATTTATATCATCTGCCATTTTATGCCCTAATTATTTAATTTTCGCAGAAATAGTTTTTGAAAATCTTCAAAAAATTACAAAATTTGCAAAATTTAAAGCCCTTGAAAAAATTTGCACTATATGGTATTGTTTTAAATGTACAGCACTCTATAGTATTTGAGATTTCACTGGCATTTACTATGTTTATCAGTTAAGTTTTTGTAAGGGCATAGCCACGTATCCTTTGATTTTTTGTATCATGATAAAAACTGAAGTTGCTTCTGTAGCTTAAAATCAAGGACATGCTCCCTTTGTAAAAATAATGACCAGTGTCTATACTTGTAATAGCATGCACTAGCTAGTTATGTGCTATACATGTAAGGTTTGACCATGCTTGCTCAACCATTTTATGATGAATATTAAATTAATTTATCTTAGTGAAAATTATTAAAATAACGAGACACCTACGGTGCATGGCCTCGCCCCTATAGCTGTTTGATTATCAAAATTAAAAGAACTTTAGCATGCAAATTGCATATATACATAAAAAAGTGTACTCCTGAGGGATAGCAGCTAGCTTGCATAGATCTACCAGACTACCTGCAGAAGTAGCAGCATGCAAGCTAATCCAGCTACTCCCAAATTGGAGGTGTGGCATTACATCATCAACAATTAATTAATTATTAGATGGAAACAAGAAAGAAGTTTCAGATTTTTCTCTTGTTATAAGCGCTATATGACATTATAATGGCACAAATACTGTTGCCTAGATGTAAACTGAGTGATTTGAGAGAGTTTAGGACCTTTAGACTACCTACAGTTCACTCGGGTTGAAATTCAAGAAGCTACAACTCACCAACAAGAAAGATTTAAAGAGTCCCACAAATATTAAAACAATAACTAGTCTTGATCTACTGGAAAAGAATCTCATTTACCTCCAGAGTACTACGGCTATTGCTGGGCATTTTCTTGTGAGATAAGAAGCTTCTACTAGCTAGAGCTGCTCTCTAAACATCTCAAGGCAGTAAAGCAAGACTTTTCCTAACAGAAGAGAAGCTCTCACAGATTTAGAGCTCGCGATTATAAAGATATACATTCTCAAAGACAAAATCTAGCACACAGAATGAATGAATGACAGACAGACAAACTGAGTACCTAGTCCTCGCCTACGCAAAGCTGGGCGAGGCCAATAAGATATAAAGGCATACTATGTTCATTTCATTACTTTTTTAACACAGGAGCCAGAGTATTTTCTAAAAGTTATTTTGGGCATAGATCTTCAGGGACTCACATTATGAGCAGTGTCTATTGCTCTAATAGTGCAGCCTCACTACTTGATTGTAGCTATAATTCATTATCAGCAATTACGTCATGCGGAGATTTGAACAGAGCTGGTGTAATTTGTTTAGGTAAATATTTCATTTTAGTCACAGTTAGATACATGTACATGTATAACACATAGATGCTTGTGATGATGGTAACTTGAGATTGAGTGGCTCTAGTGCTGAATATGCTGGTCGTGTTGAAATATGCATAGAATCATATTGGACATCACTTTGTGATCAAAACTGGGATTTAAAGGATGCTCAAGTAGCTTGTAGAGAGTTAGGATACTCTCCTTATGGTGCAATGCCAACATATGGTTGCTATACTGAGGGACAACTATCATTTGGTATTACTAGTATCAACTGTACTGGCTCTGAGAATGCTTTGTTGAACTGTTCTCACAGTAACCCAGTATATATTGTATAACTGTCGCTCTCATAGTGATGCTGGACTTATATGTCAAAGTAAAATATTATAATAGTTCTACATTAATTTTTCATTGCGTTGCCATATAAATTACCAAGTTGTTTTATTCTAGATAACATTGAAAGATCAAACTGCTCAAATGGTTCAATACGACTAGTTGATGCGGCAATGCGGGGGATCTCTGGCTGGAACATCATGAAGAGGAAGGAGATGAAGACAAAGGACATAAGGACCTTCCGCACCTAACGAAGCTGGTCCTCACAATAGCATTGTCGGTCCAGAAGCAGAGCGACATTATGCCAAAGTTCATTGAACAGCACTCCGCAGTCAAGCAGCAGAAGGCGGACCAGAAGCTTGAACTAGCGGCCGCCGGAGAAGAGAAGAAAGCAGGGAAGGAGAATGAAGAAAAGAAAGCAGGGAAGGAGAATGAAGAAAAGAAGGCAGGAAAGGAGAATGAAGAAGCAAATGAGAAAGAAAGAGACGAGGCCCGCGGCAGTTCCGATGACAGAAGAACCAACTACCACGGTAGGAGGTGGCCGTGGAGGAAGAGGAGGAAAAGGAAGAGCAGGAAAAGGAAGATGAGGAAGCTATAAAGGTCGGGGCAACTACGGCTACGGGTGGGATGGGGACAGATGCTGCTGCAGCTCCCACCCCAAGCGGCACCACCCGTATGACCACCACCATCATCACTAACCAATTTGCTTTTAATTAATGTTTATTATTGTAATTAATGTGTATTTTGTAATTATTATTATTAATTAATTTATCAATGAAACAAAATTAAGAAATATGCATACAACTGCACGGCTGTGAGAGTATCCAGTTAAAATATTTATAAATATAAAATATTATCAAAAATTAACACAAACAGTCTCTGGCCAATGTTGTTTTATGCTTCCATTAAAGTTTTAAAATTGGCACTTTGATATCTAAACGTGTTACATGTATGCACACTCAGGATTAACAACTTGAAGCTAATATAAGTTTGCTGTGACATGAAATGAGATTAATTAAGTATTTTCAGATTGAGATAATGCCTGTTTGTTTGTCAGCATCCTTTATTATTGAACATTTGACCTTCATTCCTATAGCACCTATAGTAAGTGGGTCAATTTCATTAAGCCTGGTTTCCATATAGTTGTGATTGTTGCATATATTAAAAGTGTTGTTGTATCAAGTGGTTAATATACTAATACCATACCAGTAGTTGTCCTATAGCTATGATATAAAATATTTCTATACAATCATTTTAGGCTAAACTGAAATCTAGCACAACATGTCGTGCTGTTAGCCTCCTCTAATCCTAGGTTTCTCTACTATTCCAAGGAAAGTTGTTACGTAGAAATCTCAGTATTTAATGAATTCTAGTACTTTTGAATGTCACTATGAGCATGCATGCACCTTCTATAGTATATGTCAATAATTTCACAGACAGTGTTAGGTGCCTCTCGTTGTATGCCACTAGATCTATGTATATGCACCCTAATTTTTACAGTATGTAACAGTATTTGGTTGTCTCAAATGAATGTACTTTCTCCAAAAAATTAGTGAGTATTAATTGAAACTTTTTTAACTTAAAATTTATAGCAATATTTCTTATCTGTTTCTTTAATCCTCTAAAATTATTCTTGCTATATGCACAAAGACGCTGAACCTTCTGGGGAGAATTGAGGAGACAGTGATTTGTAAAAATGGCAGAAGCATCAGATTTAAAAGACTTGCTGTTTTTAGAAATGAAGGAAAAGAGTGTCTTTCTATAAAAGTACAATAAAACTTGATGACATGCATTCACAAATACTGAATTCCCTGGATTATGGTATACATGTAGTATAATAAACATGCATAGTGAACATAATAGGCACAATTATAAATGCAAGCTGTACGAAGTGCTGTATTTCCTGCTATATTAGAAATGAAAAAATTAGCTAATCCATATGAGTTGTAGCTATTGTCATTAACATTTGCAAAATCTAAAAATGCTGCATATTGAGAATAACAGAGAACATGTAGTGGTGCATTACCATTAGTGTCAGTAACATTCAAGTCAATTATTTTATCTTTACACAATTTATCAAACATTCTGGGATTCAGTTTCACCAGAATATGAAAAGGCGTCCAATGCCCCTTATTAGCAATATTAGTCTTGCAATTTGGAAAACTACCTACTGGTTTTAGAGTGTATAGGGTGTATATGACCAGCAGGAATATAAAATACTGACTCATTAATGGACATGCATGTACCTACTGAATCAAAAGTAAATATTCTACTCCATGCACTCAATCATGATCTTTTCTCTTCCTTATAATTTGTAGAAAGACTGGCTAGGGCATTACAAGTAGGAGAGTACAGAATTAAATTATTTTTATTACATGTTAACAATACAGAGGTTATGCAAATAGCAATTTTGCTATAATGATATAAATATAATTTTGTTTCCACTTTAATTCTGATTTCACTTCTCTTTAATCTAATGA